CACACACACACACACGAACACACACAAACACACACAAACACACACACACACACACACACACAAACACACATAAACACACACACACACACACACACACGCACGCACGCACGCACGCATACACACACACACACACGCCCCCGTCTACTCACCACGGCATCGGTGTGTAGTAGTGAGATGGGGAGCGACCTGCGAGTGACCACCTTTCCTTGACCGTCGGTCACGGGCGCTCCGGCTCCGGGTTTGCCCCACGGGTCGTAGCTTAGCGCTCCTGCATCCATCTTTGGCTCTACAGTCACTAGCTCTGCGTGTGTCAGAGAGAGGTAGGATATAGACGATGACAGTGGTGCAGGTGCGTGAGAAAGAAGGGGAAGAGAAGAAGGTGATGGTAAAGGAAGAGGAGGCGAAAGAGGTGGAGGAGGGGTGGGGAGAAATGAGAGTGAAAGTGTTTGTTTGTGTGTTTGTGTGTGTGTTTGTGTTTGTATGTGTGTTTGTGTGTGTGTGTGTGTTTGTGTGTGTGTGTGTGTGTGTGTGTTTATGTGTGTTTATGTGTGTTCGTGTGTGTGTGTGTGTGTGTTTATGTGTGTTCGTGTGTGTTTGTGGTTATGTGTGTTTGTCTGGCAAGCAGACACATGTGGCAGTCAATGCAGACGCACAAGTTATACGCACGAGACAGACTGACGAGTGATACTTACTAGCGAGACAGAATGAGAGAGTGAGAGCGAGAGAAAGAGGGAGTGAGATAGGTGCGATGCAGAGGAGTGGCTGTTATCACTGTAACCTAGATATAATACAGAAACGCACACGCAGGCACAGGCAGACAGACGGACAGAGACACACCACGCACGAGCGCGCGCACGCGCACACCCACCACACGCACACACAGCACACACACACACACACGACACACACACACACACACACACACCCACCATATATATATATATATATATATATATATATGTGCCCTCGCGAGATGGTATTTCTTCATAACCACGAGGATTTGACATAGAGCACGCGTGAGGAGGGGCAGATAAACTGACCTCCCAATATTGTTCTTCTCATTGTTGCTGGGAGACGCGCCCTAATGTTTCCGCTCTCCGTCCGTATGGGGGCGCCACCTGACTGACCGCCACCCAACTCCAGCGAGACTCCCTGAAATCGTGACGAACGAGATTTAATCATGATCATCATGATCGTCATCAACATCATCATCATCAGCAGCAGCAGCAGCATCATTATCATCATCATTGTCGTCGTCGTCATCATCAGTATCGTTTATTTATTAATCGTTGGTCAATTATATAATAATAATGATAAAATAATAATACAAAAAAATCAATTAATAATCAAATATCAATTCGTAAAGAATGCGTTAATCAATGATGAGATTCCTTTATGGTCACGGTGTCAAACTTTAACGATGAAAGCAATAAAAAGAAGGGCAGAGAGAGCGCGCCAGAGAACGAGCGAGACTGAGTGAACGAGAGAGAGAGAGAGAGAGAGAGAGAGAGAGAGAGAGAGAGAGAGAGAGAGAGAGAGAGAGAGAGAGAGAGAGAGAGAGAGAGAGAGAGAGAGAGAGAGAGAGAGAGAGAGA